CTAAAGAGCAGTAAGTAAGGTTGGTTGGACTCAACGCATTAAATATGCCTTCAATCCTCCAAAACACCGTAGAATAGCATGCAAGTATGTATCATGTGCCTCGCTTCATAGTCAATCTTACTCCTGTTATAAGTCAGGAAAGTCAGCCGTTCACGGATAGGCTATATAATGAGACGTGGTAATCCAGCCAGCTGCAGTCAATCATGCTGCTTAGGAACTTTGTTTTATTAGTGATACACACGTTTCTTTGTTTTGAATCTACCATTGACTCTCCTACCAAAGAGATCCGAAGCGTAATCCGACCTTTGAAACAGCATGAAGCTTCCGGCTCTGACAGGTTTCCTCCGACTCTTTTCAAATGCAGTGGGGATGTACTTGTCAACGAACTGATCTTACTTTTCACGAAGGTTTGGACAGATGAGAAAATCCCCAACTCATGGGGAGATTCAGTCATTGTCCCACTTCACAATAAAGGCCCCCGCGAAGATTGCGCTGATTACCGCGAAATCTCGCTGATCCCAGTTGCTTCCAAGATTTTTGTATCCATCTTACTGCGCAAGCTTTCCTCTACCGGAGAGAGTTTTCCCGGTTTTCACCCAAGCCGAAGTTGCATTTAACAATTCTTCACGCTCCGATAAACTCTCGAGCTCCGTCACGTCCACCGTCGACCAACAATCCTAGTGTTCCTGGGCATCCGCGCGACCTTCGATTCAGTAGACAGAGCTGCTTTGTGGAATTGTCTCCTAAGCAAGGGTGTGCCCTACAGATTTGTCGCCATTCTGAGGAAGCTGTACAGTCACATGTCGGGCAAAATTAAGGCTCACGACAGACTTTCTTCTTCGGTTATTGTCACCAGCGGCGTTTGCCAAGGTTGCCCTATTTCGCCTTTCCTCTTTAATTTTGCCATCTAAGATGTCGTGCAACCAGCGCTGGAAGGTATCCTGAATTGCGGTGTTAAGATTCTCCCGGGCGCCAGAATCACAGACCTGGACTACGCCGATGACATCGCTTTGCTGGGTGACAATCTGTAAACCGTCAAAAACACGTTAAACCGCTTAGCGATTGAGGCATCCAATTATTGCTTGTATTTCACCCCTGCCAAATATAAAGTGTTATTTCAGGATTGGCAGGGGGCCTGCCTCCGCGCTCACCATTGCTGGAGACAAGTGGATTGCTTTACTTATCTAGGCAGTCGCATCACCGGCTGGTGGCTGTGTTGAAGATGAGGTTTCACAGCGCATTGCTTTCATCAAACTGAGACACCTATGGCGTTGTCGTGATGTCAGTCTCAAGCGTTGGGTGTACATCGCTTCCGTCCGTACGATCCTGCTGTACGGCTGTGAGGCCTGGCATGTTCGCTCGAAAGACATGAGACGACTGTCACTTTTTGACAACCGTTGTCTGCGAAGTATTTCTCGTGTGTGGTGGTAACGTCACACAAGCAATACGGAGGTTCGTGAACGAGCGCTTGAAGCGAACAGTCCCAGTCTTCAAAATGTTGTTCTTCGACACCGCACACACTAGCTAGGTCACATACTGCGGATGCCAGCCTATCACCTTTCTTGGCGAGCGCGCTTTCCGCAAGCGATTGGAAAGTGTCGCGGTGGACAACCAATGGCGTGGAAAAGGGCGATGAAGTAACAACCTTAAGCTTAGCATCAGTCGGATCAGCGCGCCTCCCAGGCTTAGGACCATGTGACTCGGAATTCCTGTGGCTGCAAACGTTGGATGTGATGACACGTAACAGACCTCAGCGGTGCCAGTGCTGTGTCGTTTTTGCTGTTGATTAATCTCGTATATAAATTTATATCTAAAAAGGAACAAAATAATCACTACGGCATGTGTGAAACCAAAAATGAAGTGTCCTCCTTTGTTTACTTCATACGCTTATTGTCTTCCGTTTTGCCATGGTTCTGATGGCACATGGCCTGTATACAGACTTGTAAATATACCATTGTTCCACTGAAGCACAACAACTAACAAGTTGAAGATCTGTCCTGGCTCTTTCACAGGATGCCCATTTGTGCTACATTTCAAATCGAGGGTGGATAGCATTTGGTTGGCCATCTGGTTACTTCCTTGAAGCTAAACCTTTCTACCCAGTTGGTTGCATTATCGCACCATACACCACTCATTAAATCAATAAGCAATATATTCCTCAACAATGCTAGACACAGTCCAACTGAATGATTTGATCAATATGTATTGCAGGATTTAAGGGAATACATCGCGGGCAATGCTGATCCTTAACAACCCAAATATCCCCATTTCATTAACAGGGTTCAAGATCAGAAGTTGCTTCAATGTTAGGAATCCTTTTCGGTAAAATCTCGCTAGGCAAAACGTTTACATAACACTGATTATATGTGATAAGCGTCAAATCGGGCTGTGGGTTGACTTCTAAACTGTTTGAACGGTCATATCGACAACGGCTATGGCCCAGTATACCTCATCTGATCGACTCACCGAGCGGTCGCAAAAAAAGTGTCCTGCGTTATTCGCCCTTAAATCTTCGCATATATGCTAACAGAGACCTACGTACTATCATTCGATCTGGTTCCGCGAGGTCCTCCTACCACTGTTCATCTTTCGGATCTGTCATTCGCGGATCACCAGCAAATTGTGCTTTTGCAATTTGGAGGTCAACCATACTTGAATTTTATCGGAGAATTTATTTTTCCTCTCATCGCGCAAAAACTCTGATGGTCTTATTTTAAAGATCTTTTTGAGAGTCACCCGAACATCTTACTACCACTCCTTCTACTCGTTATACAAAGCGATAGTTGTCAATTTGGTCCGCCTTTGATGCAGCCACTGTCGTCATTAGACAGTATTTTCCAAGGCATCCTGCTTTGCCTCAATCCTACGCTGCATCGCTGCCTATCCACTTACCGGCTGCATCAATAGCACGCACGTCGCCTATCTACCCTAAGGAACGTGTGACTCATCTGGACGCGACACGTATGGCCCCCCTGACCTCAAACCAGCGCCGATCGCCACTCAACGAAAATTGAATCGAAGCCAGAATCTCTATCCTCTTGCTGCCCTGTTGTAGTATACACATCCAGTTACTCTATTCCATCTTGTTAGTGGAGAATCTTTACACCAAATCACCACCATCTGCGCTCATTCCTAATTCGCTACCCCATTACTGACCGTGACCACATATATCAGTAGAATTATTCCATTCTAAGCTAGTGGTAAGTGATAGATCTACAATATAGATTCTGAACTCTCCTTTGCTATCTAATCCCTTTTGGAATTGGTACAAGTCACCATAACAAAGTACACGCCTCAAGTGGATATGGCCCATTCGAAAGTCAATTGTGACCTATGTGTAAAAACCGTCAAGTCTGGTCCAGTTTGCTTTAACTGTCAAAAAGCGTAACATTCGAAGTGTTTAGAACTGAATGCACTCTAAACTAGACAATACAGCAGCAAAACCGAAACATTTTGGTTCTGCCAGGTGTGCAAATCCATCCCTGTTGTTAGTTGTGTAATTTTCCTAATGAAAAAGTGTGAAAAGTTGGCGAAAACAGTTGAGCAACTGGCGAAGGCTAGCAACGCATCTGTGAAAGTAAACAATGTTATAGTTGAAACTGAACGGACAAGCACAAACTCCCCGTTTAGGCCGAAGAAGAGGGCCAGGCGTCCCAACCTCACCATCTCGTCTCAGTCTCCAACGTCCCCTGGCCACATGACTCCAGTAAGTGAAAACGTCGTTTACAATCCACTTGCTCCTACGTTCTCCAAGGGTGTAATAACTAGTAATTCAGTTGACATACTCGACACACAAAACTCCAGCAAGCCCACGGTAACAAAAAATAACTGGACATCCTACGCAGCGGTTGCTTCTAGGAAAACGCCGTAAAAGACACCTGTGACTCCACTTACCAAAGAGGTCAAAACTGTGCCTCAACATGGATCGCTATCGCCAGTGCGGTTCACAAATCCACAAAAAACAAAAGAACCTAGTGCTCTTAAGTCGCGAACCACAAGGCGGAATCATGGTGCCTTGTCTTGTGTGCACTAACGTTCCTGAATCCAAATCCAATACAATAAGGGGCAAATTGATAGACGATCGTAGTCAGTGGGATTCCATCTGTAGTGCCATCAGCATGCGCGCTGAACCCACTACGCTGAGCCGCATCGCACGACACCCAAACTCCTTACGCTATGGTGAGCCTCGACTACTTCGAGTAACACTACATTCCGCGGAAGAAACGGAATCCATTCTGCTCGCTGCAAATCGACATCAAAGAGCATCGAACGGAGTATGTATCTTACCGTATATTCCGTGGAAAGAACGTTCAAAGGATATGAACAATCAACAGGGAAGTAGAAAACACGCGCTGAAAACCGTAATTATTCATGGCGTCCCTGAGTCTCAAGCTTCATCTCCTGAAGAAGTTCAGGCACATGACCTGGAGCAATGGCGATACATTCGTGAGGCGCTGTCTAGAAAATGTCGTTGCTACCTCCCTGACCAGGATTCCCGTGTCACCAACTTACCAAGGGTGTGGTCCTAGGTTGCTGAAGTTGGTCTTACCGTCTGAGCTAACTTTACAGACAGTTCTAGAGAACTGGGGTAACTTCCGGAACATGCTACCAACAGAAATTCGACTAAAAGCAGCAGGTTACGACCAGAGGCTACTGGTTACTCCCAACTCAATGGGAACGACCGTTGTTGCAGACTCCACCACAGAGACTGATCTGACTGCCGTCATAGCATCCGGCGAGACACTGCAGGAGGTGAGTGACCATCAGGATCATCATGAACCTGATCGCATGGTGCGCATAGTTATTCCAAGTCATTCTCGCGAGCTTAAGACAATTCAAAAAAACTAGTAGCAGCCGACCATAAGAGGGTCGGCCAAGTCTCAAACCTGTTGTCTACATCCACAAACAACCTTCTAACCTATGAATCACTCTCCTGTTTTTATACCAACGCACAAGGTCTTTTAAGCAAACTGACGGAGCTTCGCCTGCGTCAGGTCTCGATGTCAAGGGGCCTCGTTATGATAAACGAGAACTGGTTGAAGGAAGCAGAAATCGCACTACCTGGGATGTCTATTCTACGCAACGATCGACCAAGTAGAGGAGGTGGAGTACTACTTTATCGCAGCGAACTACACATTGATCTCATCGATGATCCAGAGGTTCAGATTGTCGATGCGCTTTGGTGTCGTCTTCACCTAAGCCGTGGGGACGCATGTTTGTTGGGTGTGATGTATCGCCTTCCGTCGGCTACTTTGGAAATGGACAACCGCATAGCCTCCACAATGAAGACCATTCTCTCGCAGTCGTACAGCCACATTCTCCTGGTTGGCGACTTCAATATTCATACCACAGAAACCCCAGCCTGTATCAACGAACACTTCAAAATGAAGTACAGGAGATAATTAGTGGACTACCACTCTACAATCACATCACATCTCCCACAAGATTCAGGACGGGAAACAAACCGGGTGTCCTGGATCTCGTACTCACCAATGAAGAGCTTATGATCCAAACGGTATCGATAGAGGGTCCTTTAGGCCGTAGCGACCATGCAACCCTCATGTTCAAGTACATCTGTTATGCAGTGTATTCCTCAGAAAACACCGAGGAGTGTCAGCTCATTACGCATTACGGCGCTCTAATCAAACTTCCTTCTTTCCTTCTAGCAGAAGGATCCCCCGATGTCGCCTAGTCTGAATTTGCTCACCAGTTCAACACGTTAGTAACTAGTGCTTCTAGGAAAAGATCTTCGCGAGCGAAGACAGTAAAATCATTCATACGCAGCAGGGCACGCAAGTGTATCGTTACGAGGAATTTACTCTGGCGAAGATACAAGGAGTCATCGAGTGCCGAAACATGGGAAGCCTACACTATCCAAAGGAATCACTACGTAAACCTGGTACGCGAAGATAAAATACAGCACCAACAGAATCTAGCTGAGAAATTCCTTTCTAACCCTAAGCTCCTTTACAGACACATAAACAAGCTCCTGCCTTACACAGTTTTGTGGACCCGCACAAACCGCAACCGAGGCGGCCAACGCCCTATGTCAACAATTCGCCCCGAAGTTCCACAGCACGACATCACCGCATACACTGTTCCCGATCGTTGTACCACCACCAGGACTTAGCCAAATTGTGTTTACGAGTGCGGATGTTATGAAAATGCTAATTGCCCTGCGCGATCATACCTCTCCTGGCGTTGATAATATTCGTCCAAAAGCGTTGAAATTGGCTGCAGTAAACCTGGCGGACCCACTCTGCAAGTTCTTCCAACGATGCCTCGATGAGATGCGGGTGCCAACAATGTGGAAGCAAGGCATCGTCACTCCCATCCATAAGGGAGGAAGTAGTACAGATCCGGCCAACTATCGCCCGATAACACTACTTCCGGTGCTCTCCAAAATCATGGAAGCGATTGTTGCCGAAGCACTGATGAACTTCTTGGAGGAACGCAATATCATAGCACAAGAACAACATGGATTTCGCAAGAACCGATCTTGCACTTAAAACTCTCTACTTGCTAGATTCATTTGGACTGAGACCGTTGACAGCGGCGTAGGTGTTGACGCAGTATATCTGAACTTCTCAAAGGCTTTCGACCGTCTGAACCACCGTATCCTCCTTCACAAGCTGCAGTGTTGTGGAATTGGTGACCCAATCCTCGGTTGGATAGCTAACTTCTTGCTTCAACGACATCTGAATGTAAGGGTTCGCGGCGTCATCTCTGACCCAATGGACGTTAAGTGCGGAGTGGCCCAGGGCTCAGTACTTGGTCCACGACTATTCCTGATTTACATAAACGATCTCGCGACAGTAATCACCTCCAACTCCTTACTCTTCGCTGATTATCTCAAGATATGATGAGCCATTAGAACAGCCAGCGACAATGCAGCACTTCAGGATGATCTGGACAGGGTCTACGAATGGTTGACTCAAAACCTGCTTCAGTTCAACGCTAAAATGTGCAAGGTGTTGAGCATGCGCCATAAAGCTACTTGCGAATACAGAGTGGGGGATTAGATACTGCAGCGCGCTGCAACGGAATGCAATCTAGGCGTGATAGTTCAGGAAGATCTGGGATGTTCCCGTCAGGTCGAGAAAGCCTCCAAAAAAGCTAACCAACACCTTGGGCTTTTGCAGAGAGCATTCGGGCGTTTCGATCATTCCATCTTCTCTCAGATGCTCCAAGCCTACATTCGGACTCATTCTAAGTAGGCCATCCACGCCTGGCAGCCATGGCAAAAGAAAGACCTTACCGCTCTTGAATTGCTACAACGAAGGGTGACCAAGAACGTAAAGGGCCTGTTTCCTCTCTCTTACCGATTGAGGCTGAAACCCCTCCCGGTCTACAGTGGACAATATGGACGCCTGCGTGGTGACTTGATAATGACTTATATGATCCTGAGGAATCCAAACCATTATTATCGTCACCTACTAAAGCTGAATAGCAATACAACACTCAGAGGACCCCAGCTAAAGCTGGCCACACAATACAGCCGGTTGGAATGCCGCCGGAATTTCTTTTCCCTTCGTGTGTGTCAACACTTGAACGCTCTTCCCACATACGTTGTTTCATCCCCCACGCTAACGATATTCAAAAGACGTCTGGATGATTCGCTTATCCACTTACACTACGCTATATAATCAGAGGTGTCTACGTCAACCAAACGCGAACAAACGGTGCTCATTCTCGGCTTTTGTGCTTCATTACTTACACACTGCTATTGTGGAATATAGTTTCGGATATATTACAACTGCATTAATCAATTACCTCAGTCCAAGAAAGCGGCGCACGAGTAAGCGTTGTCGTTTCTTTTGTTCTTAAGACATACCTTTCCCATATTACTTCCCATATTACTCTACAGTAACAATTCAGTACACATTCTACAATGTTTATATGAATAAGGGACACCTGAATCATTAGACGCTTAAATTGACGATTTACACTTATGTTTACATTCACTTCAACCATCCAACAGGACTTGTAAAGCTATCGCTTTTTTACCTGTAATAAACCATTGTTCATTGTTGGAAGCTTCAACCCCTCACCTCAGAAGATCGGCCCAGTTGTGGCCATTAATGAAATAAGTAAGATTATAACGCATGAAAATATGAAGAAAGAATGAGGACAATAATGCTAATAACCAAATAGATGTCATATTTCTAAACAGTGCAAGTGGGATCGTCAAGTCCTCTGATCAAATTGTACGGCGGGACAGCCGAATTCTCCATAGACGAGGGGCACTAAAACGAATGTTCAGAGTCGTCATTAGTTTAAGGTATTCGAACAGTGGAGAATGTGATGTTACCAAGCACTGAAATTTGGTATATATTCTCAAATTATTGTCTCCGGAAAAGATGATGAAATCGTTGGCATTGCTGGACGTATGTAACGAAGAGAATGGCAAAAAGATTCTACGCAATGGCCAGTTTAATGCGGGATTACGCACATATTTCTTGTACCCGTACTAATAAATCTATTTTTGTTCCCGAGCTCAGCTCAGAAGACAGTCAGTAGGAAAGAATAGATGTGTATAAGAGACTGCGTTGAAGAATAGAATGTGAATGCGGTTGGATCGGCACGACATAAATGATTCAGGTTACGCTGTTTCATCCATTGTCACACATATGTACTCAAATTATCAGGTGTCATAACTGGTCAGGTCCTTCCTGAAATAGCTTTTTGTCATCAATTTAAATAGTTAACATGTTTTTCACTCTTTCTAATGGTAACTGAACCTTACTGTCTTTCTTGAACATGCACAAATATTCGGTACATCTGATTTCTTCAGGCAGCTTATTCCATATTGTCCCGTGCCTGAGGTGACAAAAATTTTGCCTCAGACTCGTCCTGAATCTGAATAATGTGACTACACATTCTGTGTTGTGTACATCATATTTTGGTTTGTATTCGAAACTTCCGTATGTGATTTTTACTATAGAATTTTCGCCACACGAACTTATGGAGGAAGCACAAATTTAAATGCAACATTCTCAACCATAGAAGCTCGAGGTTCAGCTGGGTGTACCTATCTCCACAGGAAAGAACAGTTGAATGGTCAAAGCTCCGTTACGTTGAAACCCATGGGATGTTTTCAGTAGCCTACAAATCATGTCTGCGCTGGTTATTGAGTATAGCACAACAACCCTCAAGCAGTGGTCTTCTGTCAGTTTTGATTGTAACTACTCGGACCTCTCTCAAAGTTATTAATTGATATACGAGCCCAATCGATTCCTTAGCCTTTGGTGCACCATAATTTGCATGTTCGCTAAAGTTGAGGGAACTGGCATATCTCAATCCTAGAACAGATACAGAATGGTCTCATCATGAAGCCTGAGTAATATTGCTTCTATGTGACATCCACTAGCCAAGATTTTACACTTAGATGTTAAAGATATCATCTCTCACATTGCAGCTCACCTCTCCAAGGCTTTTAAATCGCTTTGGATGTTGGCTATTTTGACTATATAGTGTATAGTCAATAACTCAACTTAATTGCAAACAGATAAGATTAACGAAATTAACTAACGGAGAGGAGAACATTTACGTACAATGTAGTGGGCGCAAAACACTACCCTGCACCAAGTGTAGAGATGTTCCCCTTTATATCAACAGCCTGTAATCTTCCAACTAGATACGATTGGAGCACAGGCACAAGTGAATTTGTCACCCCGTATATACTGTTTGTATAACAGCCCTCTGTGTAGGACTCTGTCAAACGCCTTTTGAATGTCAAGTAATATAACTATGCACTGAAGACCTGGATTAATCGCATCGGCCACCTGGTTTGGGGAGTCGATTTGGCAGGTCCAACAGCAACGGGAATTTGGGAACCCATCTTGTGAAAGCGAGAGGTGGTGCGACAATAGGAAGGAGACTAAATATTCTCTTCAAACTTCGGAAGAAAATAGCATGATTGCTAATCGCTCTATAGGTTCGTATCTCCGTCTTCGACCCGGATCTCTGTCGCGGTATAATTCCAAACATATTCCAAAGTTTCGGATGTTGTCCAGCCTGGAGGGACGAGGAGAAGACATTCAATAATGTGAGGGGAATATCTTCACCTCCTTGCTTGCTTAAAACTGATGAGATCTCCCATCAAGGCCAGGGCTATCTGATGGCCGTGGAGAGATAGCCACGCAATTTATCATGGACACACTAGGGTTACTAGCTGAGAATCGTGTAGAGACGTTTGTGGAGGATGCTAACACCAGAGGTTCCTTTTCAATGTAATATGATCCAGCAAAATATACACCAAAAACTTCAACCATAGAGTTTGGGGAATCTCTCTTTCGCCTTCAGGCATGACGATGTGGTAACTTAGGCCAGTTATGTCACCACCCAATTCTCACAAGGATGCCGACAACTTGGATTGTTATAATATTACAGGCAGTTCGTTTTTCTTACTACCTCAGACGGGTGTGAATTTTTGTCTATTTCATCCACTAACGCTAAAGTCTC